AGGGGAGGGAGAGGGAAAAATGAGCCCATACCATGAGCTCAAGTACAAAGCAAATGTTTTGAGAATGATGATGGCAACAAATGTACAAATCTGCTTGACACAATGGATTTATGGATGGATTATGATAAAGAGTTGTATGAGCCCCCAATAAAATTATTTTTAAAAATAAAATAATAATTTTTTTTTTAAAGAAAACTGGGAATTTTAAAAAAATAGATTTTTCTATACAAACAATAGATATTACAAAGCTTAAAATGTGCTTAAGAAATGACAGGAAATAAAGCATTAGATTGTTCTCTCAACTTGCAAATAAAGAGAATATCATGACAGTCTAGAAGGATTACGCTATTGAAGATGCCATTATTGTTATAAAAAAAGGCATTGATGTCATGCCCCAAACAATATATTCCTGTTGTAGAAAACTATGTCCAGATGTTGTGCATGACTTGATAGGATTTACAATAGAGCAATCAAGGAAATCGTGAGATTGTGGAGATGCCCCCCCCCAAAAAAAAAAGTGGGAGATGAAGAGCTCCAAGCAGAGATCTTCTCAGAATTTCAAACGTTTTATAGACCCACGCCAGAGGAATTCACCGAAGACAGCTCGATGGAGATGAATACCAGATGAGGAGGAGGATGCATTAGAGAATGTGGGGAAGGGTTCCAGTTATTCACGATGGCTTTTGAGTTCTTCTGTAGCCATGGACCATTCTATGTTACAGCCACTGGGTCTATAGCATATGACAGTAACATCTTTAGAGATGAAAAAGCAAAAGAAGGTGAACAGAAAGTCCAGTGTATTTCCATAAAGTTAGACTGAGTATGCCTTCCTCCCCTTCCATCTTCTCATCTCTGTCACCCCAAAATAGCAAGACCAACCTCCCCTCCTCCTCTTCCTCACTGTACTAGTGTGAAGACAATATATCTTGTAAACAGATGACATCAGCATCAGTAAACACAGTATAGTACTTAAATATATTTTCTTTTCCTTATGACTGTCTGGGTAACATTTTCCTTTCTCCAGCTTACTTTATTGTAATTACAGTGTACAACACAACATATACAAATACAAAATATGTGTTCAGCGACTGTGTTATTGGAAAGGCAGATCAATAGGCTATTTACAGTTCTGTTTTGGGGGAATCAAAAGTTATATGCAGATTTTCCACTGTGTGGGATGTAACTGCCTGGCAACACCCAGAACTTAGATTCAAAGTAAACCAATGAACTAGTCACTAGCACACCAGCATCTGTATAGATTCTGCTGAAGTAGAGAAGAGGCCGATGTTTTCCATTCCTCACATGCTCCCAAGTGAGGCGGATGCCATTGACCCACTGACCACCATTTAAGTAGCAAAGATATGTAGGTTTATACATAAATTCCCTCCAACCTGTGAAATCCACATCAAGTAACAAATCAGTCTTTATGGCTAGAACCCTCCAGGCATAGGGTTTTGACCTTAAGCTTTCTTATTGGCAGGGGGCGTGGGAGGGGGGCTCGGGGGTGAGCTGGCTTCTTTCATTTAGAACAGTGGTTCTCAACCTTCCAAATGCCGTGACCCATTAATACAGTTCCTCACATTGTGGTGACCCCCCAACCATAAAATTATTTTTGTTGCTACTACTTAACTGTAATTTTGCTACTGTTATGAATTGGGCGACCCCTGTGAAAGGGTCGTTCGACCCCCCAAAGGGGTCACAATCCACAGGTTAAGAACTGCCAATTTAAAAGAAAATTTAGATTTTTTAATATTTTTACATTTACATCTTTTAAAACTCTTAAGACACATACAAATATACCTTCTTTTAACCTTCTCTGGTTCTTTCCCTTGGGATATTTTCAAAATTGGGGAGAAATTTATTCAATTTGTAGATACTTTTTCTGGAAAGAAGAGTGTTTTATTCTTTGGCTAAATTTTAGTATACATAGTAAGTTTATTTAAACTTCATTTTTAATATCACAAAGGATATGAATTTGCTTTTTAATTTGAAATTCAACTGTTCATTGTGCTTAGTTAGCTTTTTATTGTTGTGATGACCATCCATTCTAATGGTATCTCATCCCATGATTTTTTTCTCCCCTCCATAAATAAGGAATCTCTAACCCAAGTTACCAGTAACAATTCAGATGATGAAGATTCCGATGCAGAAGAATCAGTTTTATCACCCGTGGATGTGGACCTGAACCTGGTTTCAAATATATTGGAATCTTATAGCTCACAAGCTGGACTGGCAGGACCTGCTTCCAACCTTTTACAAAGCATGGGAGTGCAACTGCCTGACAACACGGATCACAAACCCACAAGTAAACCGACGAAGCATTAACCAGCACACCCTGCGTCTTTGTCTTCTGAAGTGTTGAGGGTGATTGTGTTCAGTTCTACCTTGGAGTACATATTAAGTAAAAATATTTCTTCTTTACAAGTTGACTTCTCCA